CAATCCCCTGCTCAGCCTGCAAATTATGATGACGGTGGACAGCACGCGGATCACGGTATTCAGACTTTACAGCCCCCGGGACTGTGGCGTTGCGGTGGCAACTGTGCGGTTACGTATGGATACACATCGCGGTCGGAGCAGGCACCAGAAATCCAGGTCGCAGCTCAACAGAGCCCTCGTTCCCTTCCGAGTGTAGATGGACGGCCAGTCAGCCAGCCAGATGTTGACGTTGTGGTCCAGCATCACTCTCAGAATGATCTGTCGGCGGGCCAGCCGCAACCTAGCGAGACAAGCTTCGAAGGTGTCCGGGAGCGGGCTTCTGTAGCTGGACGCTTTGAGACCGATATTTCCCAACCAGGGTTGCAGGACATCGTTCGAATAGTTAACCAGCTGCAACAGAATCAGTCGGGCTTCAGGGCAGAGCTTGAGCAGGTGAAGAAGGAGATTGGAGCGCACTTCCAACGTCAGGGGTCGCGTCTCTCCTGACACTGTGCGGTGTCATTAGCGTACTTGCATTGTTACATTGCCGGGCGACCGAACTTTGATAAGTGTATTGAGAAGCCTGTTTATCGTAATTGCTCATAGCATGGGAATATATGAATAGCTAGCCAGATCGAAACAACTTTGGATCATCCAGGATCGGCGGATCGCGACACCGCTTCCATAGTTCATCAGTCGAGTGCCTCAGTGCGGTTGGCTCTCGTCAACTTGCGGACGCTGACAGCCACAACATGGTTCTCCATGCGTGCCAATGGGGGTTTTCCCAAGGCAGGTATAGCATCGAAGGTATCCTGGGCAGCGTACGATCGAGTTTCGACGTCGTTTCTCGATCGTCTCTCCATGGACTCCACGTAGGTGGTCGCGAAGACGTGTTAGTCGTTTGAAGGGACCAGCGCGTTGACAGTCTGCGTAGTCGCAAATGAATACATCACCAGCTTCCTCGTAGTGGTGCTCCGTAGCTTTGACTGTTTGTGCGTTGTCGAGAAACGCATTGCCCTCAGGATGAGACCCCCTAGCGCGATGCTTCGGAGCTTCGAACGGCTGCGCGCTGCAAATTGCGTCACTCTTGGGATGGAATGCCGTGTAGTGGTAAGCAAGAGCATCGCTACACCAGAAAGGTTGCACGTTGCAGCCTGGGAACAGACAGAAAATAGGATAACATTGTTGCGACAGTCTCGCACCGTTAGAATGGGCATCAAAGGCCGGGAAGGGGGATTTACTCATCCAACTCTGGCGCCGACCACGCTTCTTCGGTTTCGCATGAACCTGCATAACCTGCATAACCTGCATATTCCATTTCATCTGACTGACTTCGATGCCAGGCAGTGCCGATTTGCTGCGTGGGCGAATGGTTGAGTTCTGGGTTACCCATCCCCCCAAAGGAAGGATGTTGCATCATGTACTTCGCAGTGCAAATTGGTCCATCACGCGGCATCAGGCATCTTTACATGCTGCGTTAACACATTTATGGACACTCGTAGGTCGTCTCGCGCCAAAGTATGTGTCACGCCCTGGCCAGCCATTACTGGAGGCTGGCTCCAAATCCCACGGAAAGCGTGATCCGATGGGGACACGGCGGCTAGCAAGGCGCTAAGCCGTTGTCTCCGCTTCCTTTGCTATTCGTCATTGGCTAGCGGGCAAGCCGCGGGAGAAGTGGGGCGGGCACTAGGACCAGGCCGCGACGATCCGGCCAGGCTGTGGTCGCACCGCACAGAATGCCTCGCGTTGACAGCGAAAACGACTGGCACTAGTGACTCCCCACGACCCAAGATTCTGCAGCAGGTGGGAATAGCACCTCCACAACAAAACCTGTGGAGGGCGAATCGGCTGCATTGGTCCCGCGTCGTCAGTCACATCGACGCGCCGTCATGTGCATTACAAGTACCCAGCGACTTTGGGTGTGCGTGACTTCATGCCTCCAAGGATTGTTCGCTAGACGGTGAAACGCGCTTGACGGGGCCATCTGCTGTTGGTTATCGGCTGCCGGCCTTTGACTGGGCCGTGCGACTCGGGGCAGCTCCGGCAGACCGAACCATCCGCCTGCCCCAGTGAACAAGTCGTCACAGGCTAGGCATGTGACAGCCGCGCATTTCACCTGCGAATTGGTGTGACGCCACAGCTGATCGTCATGGGGCGGCCGGACCGTTCCGTCGGGTACGCGCTAGGCTCTCTTCACCATCAGGGGAAGGGCTCTGTGGGTGGTGGCGAGTTTGTCGCAAGGTTTTGGCAGGGGCAAGCCTCACCGTCAAGGTGACAACGCCAATACTTCGATTGCCCACTTCCTGTCGGTGTTTCCCCGTTTCCCCGTGCCGTGCGGCTCGGCGATTGCCTGTTTGGAACCTGCCAGCATTGTTCTCGCGATCGTAACCAGCCGGGCTGGTGAGTCACCACGCCGTCACAACATTCACTCGACCGCAAGGCGTCAACCCGCCGCTGGGCTAAACTGCTTGGTGCCCTCCGTCCTGCACAGTAAGTCCATGATGTCGCTAGTGAGTGCGCAGCCAGTTCTCTGAACTTTGAACCCATGTCATTCCCGACATCAAAGCACCACTTTCCGGAAAATGACTAGTCCATCTCCCTCTCATGGTCTCATACTAGTCCGGCCCAATTCAACCAGAGATTGGCTCTTTGCCTTCCAAACGCCACGCCGTCCTGCGAACAGCTGCATTTTACAGTGAGAAGATGACAAGCGTCAGCCTTGACCTGTCACATGCTGGAAGGCTGCTTGACCCAGTGGGGCGTGAGCTCGATCGGAACAGAAACCGATCCGTGGCCTGTCTTTCATTGCGTCTACTTTTGCGATTAGTGGGGCGGCGAGGGCACGCCTCGTAGCGTATCGACAAAGGAGGCTGCGGAAAGGGTATGGAGGGCTCAAGTCGTTACAGCTATGAGCGGAACCGCCGTCCTCCTGCACACATTCTTTTGCAACGCTCGACCCACTTTTGCCGGTGTTGGTGATGGCCGAGCTCCTAGAATTCTACAGAAGAGAGAGTATGGGGGAGGAAACCAGTTTCGCTCATAGCTGTATGGCCAGGCCAACTCCATCCTTTTTCTCGACGAGAACTCACGGGCATCGAATGCCGCAAACCGGCCCGCGTCTTACGGATGCTTCTCTTTTGCTCTGGGGCTAAACTGCGGGCTGGCAGTCGGTTTATCTCTGCGCGCTGTTTTCTCGTCAAATGTGGGCTGCCGGCACACTACCGAAGGCGATTCACTAGGACGCAGCCATGGTTTCTAGGTTCTCGTGGCCAGACTGAAGTGGAGCATATCCTCCACGGGCAGCTACCTGGGCGTCTTCCGCGAAGGCAGATAGCGAGGCTGGATCTGGCCGCGTGGACTGGGACAATGTCACTGAAGGGAATGTCCTGTACGAAGGTGCTGTTCAGTAAGGCACTCAGAAAGGTGGTGACGCGAGAAGATGGTGTATTCAGAAAGATGGTGTCGTGAAAGATGGTGTCCTCAGAAGATGGTGTCCTCAGAAGATGGCGTTGTGAGAAGATGGTGTCG